AATTCCCTGCAGCCCTCTCAACATCCGGTGTTCATCATTCAGAGCCAAGAGGCTCCTGCTGACCACAGTTATGCGCAGGGCTTGATCCTGAGGCTGTCTCTTTAGGGTATCTTAGCTGAAGAGCCTGAGTTAGAACGTTTGAATTCGTGATATTCAACAAAAGAGAAAGAATAGGAAAAGCAGGAAAAACGTGCCAAAGTTAACCAGATGTAAAAAAAAAAAGAAAAAAATGTAAGTAACTGTTGGGCACTTTGAATAAGCAGGCCACGTTCTGAGAGGCTGTTTCTACCACTGTAATTACAGAAATGCATGGGTCTTACTTACCCTGACAAGGAAAAACATCCCATTTTTCCAGCAGGGAAAGTAAGAGATAATGCTGTTTAGGCTACACTGCCCAGAGGAAGAGAATAAGTGAATGTGCCATCTGAGTGGTAAAGTGGATCGTTCTGTTTGTATGACAATTGCTTTTCGAAATCAGCCGATGCAGGACAGGAACAACTAGCCAGAGACAGACCTTCCAGGTGGAATCTGAACTTCTTCAAGGACCAGACCAGACAAGTCTGCTCCTCTTAATCCCCCTCTTTTCTCTGAAAAAAATAGGAGCAAAGACCAGCTCTCTGCTAGCCTCAGGGAGCTGAAATAAGCACTAAGTAGATCAAGCCAACAAACAATGTTAAACTGAACAAAAATCCAGCAGCAATCTTGAGTCATGTAACAAGGGTCGTTTCAGAGTTACAAAAAAACGAGTCCGTCTTCATCTCTAACGACCTTAAGGAGAAACATTCTACGGCTTCGGGCCCCACCATGCACTGTTCTCTCTTCTCCCCACATTTCAGGTCCTGGGTTTCACTACTGCATGCAGCAAATTCTCACAAGATCCTCCTGTGTTACCTGCCCTGGAGATATCGGTTTTCAGAGCTGTACACCTGTACTGCAATATAAATAAGAATGACATAGAGTCCTTTAAGTGAAAGGGGAATAACCCAATAAACATCTCTCCAGAAAAATCTGCTGCTTCCCCAAGGGACAAATACCGTATGATTCCACTTAAGTGAAATATCTAGGATAGGCAAGTAGACAGAGACCAAAGTGTATTTGTGGCTGCCAAGGGAAATGGCAAGGAGAGGAAAAGAGGAACTCATTGCTTAGTGGATACTAAGCTTCTGTTAAAGGTGATGGGAAAATTTGGAAACGGATAATGGTAATGGTTGAACAACACAATAAACATAACTAATGTCACTGAATTGTACACATGAAGAATGTTCAAATGGCAAATGATTTGTTACATATATATTTACTAAAAAAAAGTTTGCTGCTTCCATTTATGTTGCACCTAGGGGAAGGGAAGAAGAAGGAAATAATCTTAGTGCTTCACATACTTGTAAAATATGTTTGCTGTCACTACAGGCTTCTGAATGGCATAGATTACAAATCCAGTTTTAACAATGAAAAACTCATTTCTTTAGTCTTCTTATTCTAAATTATCATTTACTAAGTAAAAGAATGACGCATATTCTACATCTAAAGCTACAAGGATATGTGACTGTTAATCTGGAGCACGTGCACCTCTCTAGTTTAAAAAAAAAAAAGGAAAAATAAAATGAAAAGCAATACTTAGCTGCAGATACTTTGTCTACTGACCAAAGCAACAGACTACATACTAATAACTAGAAGACGCTGCCTCCATCAGGTGGCAAAACTCTGGTGTATGAGGAACACAAAAAGCAGCCGCGAACACCAGCTCCCATCTCCAAAGGTTGTGCTGCCAAAGGCATGGTTGAGAATGAGTTATCGTCGCTCGTTCTCCTGAATAAGAATGAGTCTCTATCAAACAGAACCACAATGAAAAAGTTAGAGAATATTAAGAGAAAACTTAAATATGCTCTCAAATGGTCAGATGCTAAGGGAAAGATTAATTTTGAGGAGAAAGCGAAAATAGTAAAAGGTAAGTAACTATAGTTTTCCCCTGCTATCCTATGAAAGCTTTTGTAAGCTGAAATGGCAGAAAGTGAAGAAACAACTGCCATTAATTTATATGGGAAAAAATTTTGAGCATTCTCAGACACAAAAAAATAACCTACCAAATCATACCAAATAAATTGAGATAAAGCACAAGTGCTCACAGACACAGTTCAAAGCTATGGTGGCTTGATGCTAGGTGTAGCTCCCGGGGAAGGAGCTTGGCGACGCCACTCTCTCTGCTCAGGGTGCACAATGCCTATTAAATGGCTCACTGCAAAACAAACGCGAACGTTTTTTGCTTTTCGTCTTTTTTCGTAAAAGCGAAAATCCTCTTCGGATTTCTTTTGGTTAGCAGAAACAGATACTAATGTAGGTCTTTTGTAAAAGCAAAGTGGCATAAAGCAAACTTTTGAAAAGCGGGGGATACCTGTATATTTGTGGGATTGAAAAGCATTGTCCTCAGCTAACATGTCCTTCTTAATTGACAACAAACAATAAAATGTAATTGATTAGCATATGCCTATTATAAGTCAAATGCAGATGACACATATTAAACAAAATGCAATAAGTAGATAATCTGTTACAAACAGATTTATATTTGAAAAGGTTTCTGTGAATTAAAATTTTGTAAATGCACTAGGTGAACTCATTACTTAAAGAGATCTTAGGTGAAATTCTTCACCAAAACAAAGAACAATGTATAAAGCACTTAGTCAAGCTCTAATTTGTCTGTTTTGCAGATCCTGAATTTCAAATACTAGGTAAAGTGAGGCAATTCACAGAACAAGTACAAATGACTGAGACACGTTTGGAAAAATGCTCAGCCTCACCAATAACCCAAGGGATGGACACTGAAAAGAGACCATTTTCACCTACCAGACTGGCATAATTGTAAAAGATTTGCATTATCCAACACTGGCAGGAGTCAGGGAAAGGGAGCACTCACATATATTAATACTGAAAATGTAACTTGGTATCTTTTAGCAGAGTAACTTAGAGGTACTCAATAATGATTAAAATGTACACACATACACATACAAGTGTGAGCACACTTCCAGGAATCTATTGTAGAAATACCTACGCTAGTGCTCAAGGATGTTCTCTGCAGCAGGATTTGTGCTAGTAAGAACTTAGTAACAATTGAAATATCCATCAACAGAGGAATGGATTAATAAATCTGACACATCCACACAATCGCCATTAAATAGAGATTAGGCAGAACTGATGTTTTGACATGGAAGGATACATAATATACTGCTGAGTGAAAAAAGCAAATTTAAAAAAACTCAGCTTGAAAATCAAGTTTAAAAAACTCGGTGTGTGTGAGGGAGAGAATGAATGGATGCCTTAAGTGGCAGTTGGCCCTGGTAAAGCGAAGAGAGGAGGGTATACGGTTTCACTTTTTATTTTATATGGCAATTAAGAGATTATCAATCTGAGAATCCACTAACAGTTCAACAGATGTTCTCTAGGGAAGCAATGCAGGACCACTCTGTAGTTTAATAATGTGGATACTCTATGATTTTACCAACAGAATCTGACTGGGCAAGTAGGTCCAAGAGGATCAACCTTATTCTGAATCCTTTTTATGCAGAAAATGATACTTTTTAAGGCAACATGCACTCTTTCTCTTAGAAAGTAATACTACTTGAGAAAACTCAGTAAATATTTTTCTTATAGGCTCCCACCCAAAAAACATTACCAAAAATAATAACAGAGGTGAATCCCATTAGCCCAGAATTACAAAGTACCTTTACATCTTTAAACTTCCCAAAATCTAAAGTCTAGACCCAAGTCTTACCTATAACGTTCAGGGTCACAACTTTGAGAAGTGGGAAGAGCTACATACTCCTTTCATCTTTTAGAGAGAGACTGGTAAACACACCTTTCTCTTATTATTCTCTTTTTTACAAGAATACCCTTGATTTCCAAATCTAACTCTCAAAATGCTTTATTCAACAGGGGATTTAAGCACTCTATAAAATATCTTGATGTAAGAAAGATAGAGTATTAATGAATAGTCATACCATAAAACACCCCCATCTAAAATACATTTAGAAGTATACAAGACAAGTTCATCAATTTAAAGCAGTTTGTAAAGGGTAACCAAATGACTACTACAATTTTAAAGTTGTAAAAAGTACACATAATGCCTTCTCTCTCTTTCTCTTCTTAATGTGCTTAACATTACACAGTATTAGGACAATATTTTCCAGGCTAGAATGTACTTTCCACTTGCCCTAATAATAAACCTATGCCCAAATGGGAAATGTAACCAGAACTAAATAAACATAGACAATGAACAAGAGAGCCAGAAGATGGGCTAATGAATCTGGGATGCCTTCACAAGCTAGAAAGTGTCAAGAAATTAAACAAATAGAATAGAAAGTATGAAAAGTTAAACACTGGATGCATAGGAAATGCAACTACAGATCAGAGAAGGGGGGATGGATTTCTTTCTTCAGGCAATGGATAGCATTGTGTATGTTGTCAGATAGTCAAGCTGAAGGAAGTGTGCCTCACAGTAATACTGCAGGAATCAGTCATTGCTGAATTATCTATAACATGCGAACTTTGTTCTGGAGGACAATCGGTAATCTACAAAAACAAAAACTTACTAGAATGACGTACGACCTAAAATGAGCCGCAAAGAGTCCAACCCAATGCATAGGTAAAACAGATGAAGAAAAAAAACAAAGAGGAAGAACAAGAAAGAAAATTCACATGAATACAAAGTGATTCCATTTTTTTCTTAACACCCACACAGAGACAGCAGTTTCTGACAAGAATGTTCTCTGAAAAAAATAAAATTACAGGAATTTTTTTTCAGAGAGAAAAAGACAGCTTTATATGCAGACTACTAGGCAAGACCATATGTTTTTTTAAAGGCCCAAATTTACAGCCCTCATATTTCAAAAATTTCATCTAAATAACTTATTTTTTGGAATACAAAGAAAAAGATGACTTAAAATATCGTCCCTGTTTGGAATGCTTACTTCATGTTGTACTTGAAAATAAAAGCCAACATGGCAGCTTACCTTGGCACTGGAAGCCTTGTTTCCCAAACCCCCTGAAAAACAGAAACAAGAACAAAACATCTTAACATATTTCATGTTGGACATCATATTTTAAGCAAGTTATGTGACAAACTATTCTATAGAGTTAAAAGTTTGTACATGAAACCCAATGATTTGATTTAAAAAAAAAAAAAAGCATAATATCTAATCAGATGACTATATAAATCCAGCTCGGGAAAAAAATCTATCTTGGCTGCAAAGGATCACTGAAATTCTTCAACTTATGAAGTTTCTTTCCAATTTTTTTATACTATGTGATCAACAGTTACATTTCAACACAAGAATATAACTGTACATTCATATATATGAATATTAGCTACAATATTCAAGTCACAAAAAGGAGTTTATGGGAAAGAAGTGGCTTAATTTTGTTCTTAAAGTCCAGCTAAAAATCTTTTTTCTCCCTAACGACAATTAAAAAGTGGCTTCATTATGTGTTATGAGTTTGTTTAAAATATTATGTGTCAGGAAATTGCCAAATAGCATCACTCTTTTAACATTTAATTTTAGCTTAAGGAGCCATATTTTACAAAACAAAATATCATTCCTATCGTCTGCATTTGAGATGACCATGATCGAATTTTTACTGAGAACCAACAGCATTCAAAGCACACACAGAGACAATTTTGTTCTTGTAAATTACTTTAGAGAATTTACTCTCTAAGGGGAGAACCCTGACATGGAGATTAAATTGCAGACATTGTTCCACTAGAATGGACTACATTACAATTTTCTCAGAAGGTTATTAGCCATAACCCCTTGCCTGACAGAGCTTTTTAAGTTTACAAAGCACTTCACATATCTTTATGATTAGAGTCATCCCCCCAAAAAACATACTTCAACTCAAACATTTAGCTTTAAAATGTCAGCACTTTTAAGATTTCAACAAAACTTTTAAATCAAGGACCCATAGAAGCAACAATGAAAGAAAACTGAAAAATTAAAGCCACTGCCCAAACTTCCAGCAGATGTTCTCCTGGAAGTTCCAAGTAGTTGTTTTACAATTAAGTGGAGACATGTAGAGATTATTCAGGGAGAGAGGAGAGGGAGAGACTGTTATTTTCCACTTCACAACACACCTGGTGACCTGGCCTGCCACATCAGTTCACCAGGGCCTGATCCCTCCAGGCAACTGATAGTGGAAAGACATTAGCTGGCCTGGGTAGGTTACAAGTCCCTTTTCTAGCTTACCTACTTCCTGCAAAAGTAATCAACAGACTGACAAAACTGTCCCCTTTTAAGGGAATCTCACAGTTGACAAGAAAAGCAGAAGACCTGGCTTTAACTAAATGCAATAGCCTCTCTTTGCCCTGATGCTCCAAAAACTTATTTTAAATAGCCTCATCTACAGTTACCTACTCCTTTGAGCACAACAGCTTCATACGCTGACTATACCGGTGGAAAGCATTCATAGAGGTGGCTGTGCTTTTCATAAAAGTATACTTTTGAGCTGATTTCTAAAAAGGAAAGGAAACATGAAGTACCAGATTAGCACCACGTTTGTGGAACACGCCCTTTGACATGTTTTTCCACAGGAGTGATGGATGGAGACAGAGCCATCCGTAAGTTCTCCCTAGTGTCCCAGCAAGATACAGAGGTATGCCACACAGCGGGTTAGCGGCTGGACTGTCACCTAGTGCAGCTCCCTGGCCGATGAGAGGAGGGAGCTAAGGAACCCTTATCCTATACCCACAAACAAGAGGTTGAAGAAGCAGGGTGCTGGGCAAACTAAGACAAAAACAAAACTACTGATTCCCAATCTGGGGGACCTGTTAATTCCCTAAATTTCGCGTGTTCGGACTTTTGGGGGGTTACAGACCTTTTGAAAATCAGATAAAGCTGTAATTCTCTCACCTGAAAAAGACCGCACATTCACAGTTTCCCTTAGTTCTACAGGGCTCACAGACCCCCCGCAAGGCCCATCCATACGGTAATTCCTCCCAAAGCCGCAGGACCTCCGAGTTAAGAATACCTGCTGCTCACTGGAAATGACCTGAACTTTGACGCTTTTAGCAGTTACACTATTTTTCTTAAATAAGGCTTTGTCCTCATCAACACGGTTACAGGGTAAATCTCGTGTTGACAGGTCTATTTTAAATGACTTCCTCTGCCCTTCTGTCATTTGCCGGCACTGCTTTAATTTCCCCTCCCCCATTGCAAGCTTTCAACAGTTTGTTGCCTCTCAACTTTCTCTCCGGGATCACCCAGAAAATTCAAAAGTCTCTCCGTGCCCAGTAGATACCAGCTACAGTAAGCACGGACCCAAGATTCCGGTAGAGTCCCAACCCGATGGGAAGCACAAACACACACACCCCGAACGCGCCCAGCCTGGCTCGCCAACAACTTGGATCGCGCGCAGCAATCGCCGCGGCTCCCGCGGTTACTCTGGGGCGTGTTTCTCCCATACACTCCAGCCCTCTGGATCCTCCTCTTTTCTTTCCCCTTTGCTCACACCCCGCCAAAACGGCTGCCCCGCGGTGTGAGGACTGGAGAACCTGGGGGGAGGTCACTATCCCCGTGGAGGGGATCAATGTCACTGCCGCGCAGGGCCAGCCCTCCCTCCTGCGGCAGGGGGTGTGTGGCAGAGCGGTGACTTCCCCAGGAGTCCGGCCCGCGTGTGTGTCAGTGGCCGGGACGGCCGGGCGCGCGAGTGTGTCATTCCGGCGAGAGCTGGGACTCCCGCTGGCTCTCCAAGTTCCCCGAGCCCTGGAGTAGACGTGCCCGGACTGGGGGGCCCGAGCGCGGGTCCCCGGGAGAAGCACTGGTCCCCTGTCCCACGCGCCGCGAGCCGGTTCGGGGGTGCCCCGGAGGTGCCAGTCTTGCTCCCGGCTCGCGCGCACCTACCAGATGAAGTCGGTGCAGTGGCTGCAGAAGGTGGGCTGCTTGAAGAAGCGGGCGATGAATTTGTGGTCCTTCACCTCATGCACGTTCTTCTGCCTCAGCGCCCCTTTGCGGGCGAAGCGGTTGGCCACGTCCTGAGACGCCGTGGAGTCGTTGGCCGGGAAAACGTCAGCCATGGTCCCCCTCAACCACCTCTTGCCTCCGCCGGGGAGTAGCAGCGGGGAGGCCGGGGGGCGAGGGCGGGGGC